CTCCTGGTTATCTCTCCCGCCCCCACGGTCCTGAAACACCTGGGGACTGCCCCCCGGAGGCCTTAGTTTGGGGGGGGAGGGGAGAGGGGGGAACAAATGCCGCAGGCGGTCTGGCCGGCCCGGGGCTGGAGGGGCGCGCTGGGCTGGAGTCACCGTGCTTTCTGGGGCAAACCCAGCCTGGTCCCTTGAGCCAGAGCCTCTTTCCTGCCCTGAGAAAGAAGTGTTGCCCCCATTTTGATCACAAGGATGCTTAAAGCATCAAAGAACGAAAAAAGAAAGTTGATGGTCTGGCGGAGGGGAAGGGCCGAGGGAGGCCTTGGGGTCGGTGGGGGCGGGGAGGGGGGCGAGAGATCAGAACACGCGCTTGTGATCTCCACCAAGTAAGGGAAGATTTTTAGGCTGGGCGATCGCGCTGCTCTGGGGCCCAGTGTCGTGGGAAACCCCTCAAGGCCGAGGTGGAGGTTTTCGATGTCTTCTTCGATGGGGGCGGGGGGGGGAGCTTAGCTGCATCCCCCTGAAAACCTCGGGGCTCAGTTGGACGGGGAGCTTTTGGCGCCGAGGGGAGTGGGAGGGCTTTTTCCCAGGCAGCGGCCGGGAGCACAGGGCTCCCGCGTCTCCTTTGCCCTCTAGTCTAATAACTTCGCGGAAATGCGGGGCCAGTACACCAGGAATTGGAAATGGACAGTGTTAAATAAACAAGGGTCTCTTTAAAATTCTCATCCACTTCAGATGTCTAAAGTAAGATTGTGATGATTTTGTCACGGTTTGGTAAATTTACCCCTTTAAGAGGCTTTCACAAATCCCAGAACACACCTTCAGCCAGATTTGAATATAGATTTAGGTTTTAAAACCCAGAAGCTGGAAACACCGCTTTATCAAAGAGAATTTCCCTTTAGCTTAGCAATGTGCGGAGGCTCTTAAAAGATTGGATCTGAGCGAGGGGGAGACAGAGACAGAGGAGAAAGAGAACCTAGAGACAGAGAGAGGCAGACAGGAAGAAAAAAAAAAAAAGACTTTCTTTTTCTTTCTAGAGGAATTCTGCCCAGACTCTGCAGCAGTTGCTAGCAAGCAAGCTTTCTCCTGGATGTCTCCTGGAAAAGTTGCAAAATCGCTGTTCACCTGTAAGAACATGCTCTTTATCTTCCAGTCTCTTCTTGTCATTTTGGAAATTGCAGACAGCCGGGCTCAGGTACAGTCCCCACAAACCCTGCTCTAGGTCAGGACAAAAGCCACTGGCTTTGGGGGGAGGGAGGGGTCTGGGCTGTTGTTGTACTGAAAATCTTAGACGCTTGGTGGGAGAAAAAGGCTCTTTGGGTGAAAAGTCTAACTCTTGATTTTCAGTAAGTCCTTGAACTTCCAGTATACTTAACTACATAGTCATTGTATGGTCTCATGTTTAACTTCCCCCCACCCCTGTATCCTGTGTCTTTAAATTTTTTTTTCTCTATGAATCTGACTTATGGTAGCTTGTTTGTATCTTTAAATAATTTTCGTTAACAAGCGGATGGCTTTAATGACCACGAGTACAATTATCTTGCTACGAATATGAGATAGAAGTATTCAGAAGCTAAATGAAGAAAACCAATACACAGAGAATCAAATTATTTGTCAGAGTTTGCATGCAGCTACCAAAAAATGGCTGATATTCATATTTTGAAATCTAGATTCCTGTCTGGTGCTTGCTGGCCTTACTTTCTCCACCCTGCATGTCAGGCCAGTTTAAAATATTCCAAACTTTCCTCCAAGTTTATTAACTGTGGTGGTGTGAGGGAGAGTGGAGGAGTGGGAGGAGAAAGCAGATCTAGGGGTTCTTCTAGGCTAATTTTTAAAAAAGAACAAAACTCATATTCTGTGAGAACACAGCCTCTCAGGGGAAAGGAGCACGTTAGACTCCCTGAACGCTTACTTCAGAAATATGAAGATTAATTTTCAATCATTTCAGCAATTCAGTGGACAGAGAGGGATCACGTCTTGCCTTAGAATTGCTGCGATACTCAGAAAAAAAATCATTTTCATTAGGTTTTAAGATGTGTCTTTATTAAAAACTTTGACAAGATGAACTCTAATTAAATTTTTAACGAGGGTGGAAGATTGGCAATACAGGCAGTATTTGGGGAGGAAGGGCCGGCAACCGATCACTTATAAATAAATGAAGCTTGGGCTTGCTAATTCTCTGCATTGCAGTTGCTTCAGAAAAGAGGGTAAGGAAAGAAATGACTTCAAAGATGGGATTGTGCCGTCTGGATAAAAGAGTAGGAGGCAAATTCCAAATGCAAAAAAAGAGGAAAAGAGGACCATGTTGTTCCGGAATGAAACGGATTAAGATTGTGTGACAAGTGCGAGATGTGGGGCTGGGAGACAGTTATGAGCTGAGTGGGAGCTGGAAGCTGTGCGTCTGTCCCTGAGTGTGTGGGGACCAAGGGTGTGTGCAGACCAGGTTAGGGTGGGGGATAGAAAGGGCCTGTGTGAGTTGGAGAGATGGAGCACACAGTAAGGGGGGTGTGTGTGTGTGTGTGTGTGTGTGTGTGTGTGTGTGTGTTGGGAGGGTGTGGACGGGAATGTGGATGGATTGATGAAGGGTGGTAGCTGTCAGTTTATATAATTTTCATCTCCTGGTCCTGAAGTTTCCTTGAAATCAATTCTACTGCAGGCAGCAGCCTCGAGCTTACAGAGCTGATATAAAACAACCATTACAGTCCAATATCTTGGCTGTTTGCAAACTTCATTTAAAACTGGGGGAAAAAAGACCTGGGAATGGTTTTGTAAGAAAGGAAAAAGGGAAGAAAAGAAAACCGCAGTGAAGCTTTAAACTAGTTTGGATAAATCTCTAATCTTATGTAACCTTTTACCAGCTTTATTTCCCGTATATGAAAAGCTTCTTTCATATGGGCACGGCAGACTTTGCCTTTGGATTTTTAATTAGAGCCCATCAATTGTAGCCATATTTAAGAATCAATATAAAGTAATCCTTCGAGATGGGATAAGGTTTTAATCGAAAATCTAATTTCCCACTCTTTACAGATCATTTTAAGGGGCTGGTTTATTTTTTAAAAAGAGGTCAATTTTTTAAAAGACATAACATCTAAAACCTGAAAAAAAAAATCATGCATGAAAAACAAAAAAAACCTGATGCTGCTTTTCAAAAAAAAAAAAAAAAGCCTGGCTGTTGTTGGGAACTTTACTCTATTTAGAAGAATTTGACTTATTTTTTTCCTCAAACACTTTAATGTGGCTCCACTGGGAGTCTTCACACTGAATGGAGAGAGGGAAAAAAGAAATCGTTTGTCTAAAACAGTATTTCATATGCAAAAGATAGTAACTTAAAATTGTTATTAACAAAGAAAACATAGATCTTGATAGATCCTTTTTCTCTGTGAGCTCTCAAATTCCCAAGACCAGGAAATGAATAGCACACACTTCATTTTTGTTCATGGATGCAAACTTTTCACTTACATATTCAGGAATGGATATTTTTGAGCATTTTTAAAACTTCAACATCAGAATTTTGCAATATTCATTTTTTTTACAATTGAAAAGTTGCCTGTCATGAATGCATA